ATGGTTGTGACAACTATTTTCTACACATCCCTCCATATCAAAAGTCAAATGATTGGGAGTTGGATTCAAACAGTCACTGAATAAATCGGTAAATTGTGATTGTTGTTTGTGGACCATCTCCTTTCAGGTTGACCATTTGTGAGGAGCAACCTCTTTGTAGACCTTTTCTATCACTGGATCACCAACACTTCTGTAACAGACACATGGCATACAAGAAAAAGCCTAAAGACAAGTTTTATTTGTGCTGCTCAAAAATATAAGAATTTCACAATCTCTATGCCGATAAAATCACATGAGATATAGAGCTCTCACGCGTGGAGAAAGAAGGAATATTCATTTAAACTGCAATCATACTCATTTACTTTTATGTAACAGAATATTTGGAAACGATTCTTCCAAAAGCGTAGCCGAAAACTACAGAAGTCGAATCAGGCTTTGACTTCTCTCACACTGACTTGATCATCATTCTGCTGGCCTTAGCAGAGTACGGTGCGGGACCTTTCCAGGTGAGCCAGTGGACGCCGGAAGCCCAACCAAGGTGGTCACCAGACGGGTGCCAGTCTCCGTTCAGACTGGCCGAGCCACATTTGCTGAACCACCAGCCACCTCCCTCGGAGGAGGCGCAGTCTTTTTGAAGAATGTCTCCAAAGAGGCACGGGTTGCAGCCATCGTTGTCTCGGTCAAAAGTGCTGAAGCCAAAGCCATTCTGGTCGATGCCAGGATAAGCACCCCTGATGGCGTCGCCTTTGGAAATAGTTAAAAACATTTAAAATCAAACTTGAAAAAATAAACCATATGAGAACAGAGCGTTGCTGGTCCAGAGCAAACATAATATACGTCAGTCTTTGCGATCAGTGAACAATAAAATCCTCAAATTAGCAAAAACAATCAAGGCTTTAGACCAGAGACAGTATGTCTACGTGTTTGACTGAAAGCGAACAGCTAAAGCCACTTTACCTGCGTTGCCGCGGTATTCTCCAACCTGAAGTTTGAAAGCCGTTCTCTCATCTCCCAGCCTAAAGTTGTTGTACTCAGCTAAAGCAGTGCCACCTTCATGATCCCAGAGGTCCACTCTCAAGGTCCAGTTCTTGGTTGTTTTCTTTGTCAGAGCGAAAACCTTCTTCAGGCCGAGCCAGTGGTCCTCTTACAAGATTAGGAACACATAAAGAAAAAAGGATTTATTGTTTTCTGGTGCCTTTCACTTATTTTGTGGCAACAAATTAAAATGCAAACTTCCTTTTGTTTCCCAAACAATAATTTGAGATCGAACTAGCTCTTTTAGGATCACCAGTATCAAAACTTTTTCTTCCAGGCCAGGTTCTTCCCATACCTTTCAGCTTTCCAAAACCATTTTTGTAGGCATTCCATTTTTTGTTGAAGGACACTGCCCCTCCACTGCGTCTCTGAAACACCGTCCAGCCTCCATCTGGAAGCATCTCACAGTACACCTGAGCAGGAAGTCCAGTAAGTGTACGTCATATACCTTTAACAAATGTCTTGATAAAAAAACATCTGAACAATTCTGGCTGGTGTTTAAAGCTGACTAGTTGTAGCATGTGTGCATTTTTGTCAGAGGCAAAATTATGACTGCATCACACACCGTCGGGAAAAAAAAACAAAACCACATCTCCTTAAATACACAATTATCATTAGTGTTGTGTGAGAATTGACATTATCTAAATGCATCTAAACAAACAAATTCCCTCACCTTGTTGGCAAAATGACATGAATTTACAAGCAATTCTAGCCCAAAAAGCTCAATTCTGGACTGTGGCCAAGAGCCACAGAAACGTCAAGGGATTTTCTGCACTCAACCAACCAAAGTTCTGAAATTTTGCTTTTAAAAACCACGAATAGTTTAATTGTTGACTAACCCTCTAGGGATATCATGATAAAATAGTGAGCTGTGACTCATTCTTTCCTGGAGAGACTAAATCTTTAGCAATTGCACCTTTTATACCTAATTGTGACACCATTACTCATCAACTATTAATTTGCTCAATTTAAAATGTTAGTTATTTATAAATATATATATTGTATTGATATCTTTTATCCATGTTATATCATCTTTGTTATTCTAAACTGATTAAATTGAAGATTTATAAAAATAACAATCTTAGCTTTTGTTGTATATGAAAAGAAACAAAACGTGAGCAACCCATATACTCAACCAGCAATATGGACACAATTTTATGTTGCAGCTTTCTTTTTAGTGAGGCATGCATTTTAATTGTACAGCTTTCAATTTCAATAGCACTATTTTCAAGATTATACTTTAATTTACCCAAGAAGAAGATTTGGATCATCTTAAATAATACACGTCACACACGTTTTAATAAAATCTACTAATTTTCTTTAAAACACTATAACTCCATTCAATAGCGCACAATATTTCCTCAAAATGGTCAAAATATCAGTGATAAATATGGATGTTTGATACCTTGAAAGGGGTTTTGACTCCAGCAGGTTGGATCACATAAACCCCAGAGGGGGCGTTTGGTGAAAGAGTTTTGATCTGTGTGCAGTCCGTTCCTGAAAAGAGACAAAGTTGACTGGAAAACATAAAGCATCTTCATATCTTATCATTAATCATCCCAAAATACAATCCCCCTTTACCTGATGAGACTTTCTTAAACCTTTTCTAGAAGAACAACACAAATGTGAAAAATTTAGCAGTGTTTAAAATGAGACTTCAAATTGTGCGAGTACGCCATTTTACAGCAGCTAAAACGGAGACTTTACCTGAGCCTGATCTGAGAAGCACACAAGAAGTGCCAATATGAGACCACGATAGCCGAGCAGATCCTTCATTTTGAGCTGGAAAAATAACCCCCAATAAATGAATAAATTCAAAAATCTAAAGAATTTTTTTTTTAAAAATCAGAAAACTTGACCAGGATACATTTAGAATGAAAACACATAGCTAACTTTTTACAATGATTAAAAAAAAAAGGACAGATTATATTGCATTAGACTGAAAATACAGAAAAAGAAATAAGACAGTGTGACCACAATGACTGTTAAATGAAAACCTTTAAACTCAACCTACATCTCACAAGGATCTATGACAAATCAGGTTATATTTTCAGCTTCTTTTCAGTAGCCTAAAGACTAAAAATACAGCTGAACAGTTTGTATCACACTTCCAAAACGTACTTACGTTCTGGCAGATCTTTGAATCCCAAAGTGCAAACTTCACAACAGAAGCAGCCTCTTTTTTCTACACAGTCTGAACTACCACACCTCCTTCCTGGTTGCGATGAATGTCGTCACTCTTTGCTGAGTCAGACGCCGTAAAGTTAGTGCTACACACAAACAGTGACTTTCACTCTTTCTGAGAAAAAACATGCATCAAAGTGATTCCAAGGAAGCACTGGAAGTGCTCATTTTACTGACTTTTCCCATCTGGCCACTCCTCACTGTGTAAACAGCATTCCATGGCCGATACCAAACAAGATGGAATAGCAGGGTTGTAAAAATAACGCCGCCAGTTCACAAAGTGAAAGCCAGTTAAAACAGTTACTCACACATGCAAAAGCAACAGTTTCTCTCAAAGGCAACAAAGAATTAGACAAATGTGGGCTCCCTGAGTCTTTGGTGGGTATGGTGGGGTAATTATGGCGATACAGTGTTTAATTTGGTTAATTTATCCACAGTGTTTGGAGGGAGAGACTCAAAAACTGCAGTTATCCCTAAAGTCAAGTTATCAGGAAATTCTTAATCTATTTTGGAGGACTGTTTTAAGTTGCTTCATGGTTTGGCTGCCAGTTATTGTCATTATAATGCCTTAACTCTCATACCAGGGGTGTCAAACGCCTTTCCTCTACAGTCTCCTTCCAGCACAGGCCTGATAAAGGCTCCCTGATGTGGATCAGGTGTGTTGAAGCTGGGAAACATCTCAAACTTGCCACACATCAGCCCTGAAGTACTGGAGGTTGGCACACACGTCTCAGACTACCACAACAGACAGCATACTGAGGCTTCGTTGAGCTGATCGGCTTCATAGGATGCATGAAAACATGAAAAGATGTTGATGAAGGTAACTTTTTGTAATGTCACTGGTAGTTTACTACCATTGCTGTAACAGCTCATGATACGCCTTTTAGGTCTCTAACTGGCAGCTACTTTTGTCTCCTTTTTAGCAATAAAGCTAAATAGCTGAATATTATGTAGCCATACAGCTAGATTTGATCCCATAACCAAGATAGAAACCAACATTTCCATATGCAACTATGAGTTGACATATCAAGTCCATTGTTAGTTAGTGTTAGAAAAAGTTCTGAACACAGGAATTGTATTTCACATGGATTCAGCCGGAATTCCTTCTTATCAGAAATGATTAAGGTTGTTCCCACAGCTGCTCTTGGTCCAACACCCGTGATTACATTCTTTACTGCTTAGTCTAAGCAACTGTGCAGTTTTTAACAACCTGGGGACAGGACATTCTGTGTTTTTTAATCTGGACTCAAAACATGAATTTCCAAGTGTACGATTTTTTTATTTTATGCCCAAAGCAGAGTATAAAACTTTGGATGTAGGTCACATGACAAGTGTTGCTCGACACCGTCTCTGACAGTTTGACAGTCAACAGAAGGAAGAGTTTTTGTTTTTATAAAAGGTCTGAAACAGATTTAAATATAACACATTTTATAGTTAAGCTCTTACGGATAAATGAGAAAAGGCAAGATATCAAAATGGAAACATTTATGGTGATGGTGAAGTTGGTTCTGGTGTCTCAGTACATTTCCACCTCAACATTTCTAAATGCATCACATTTTTAGATACCTAATAAAAGCCTTTGTCTTTTTGGAAGTTTTGCACAGACATGTACTGATCTTGCTCTGTTTTGGCGGGGGAGGTCTGAAAGGACGACATTCACCTTGACAACCATACTATCATCTGTTGAATAGCGGTTGTTGTGTTCCAATTCTAATTATACAAGTCTCTTTTTGAGCAAGTGACATTGGAGAGCAAATCACCCCCCCCAAAAAATAAGCTACTTATATATAAATAAGATTAATTCCTCTTCCGATTTCCCCAACTGAAACAAACAAAGTGTCCTTTTGACACCAGGACAGATTCAGCGGTAGGGGAGGAGATGTTTACCATTTTAAAGATATGAATAGCATGAATTATTTTGTAGAAATCCTGTAATGAATCATGAATTTGGCCACAATTGCTGTTATTCTGTGTTCTTATTAGATGAATTTCTGTTTCTGAATCAGCCTTTGGTAAAATGATTTCTTATGTGTCCACACCTATATAAATAAAAACAGAACAGTCTTCTTTTTTCATACCAAAACCAGGGTAGAGAGGCTCAGGGAGGTTGTTTTTCAAATGTGTGGGGGTGTTTGAGGCCCCAAAGGGTACAGAGCAGTATACCACCAGTCCAGTCCTTATAGGTATTTATATAAAAGAAAGAGCCTTCTTAAGACAAGATAAAAAATCATACTTTCAACTTTTATTAAATTGTGCCACCTGTTGGAAAAATTATGAAACGACATAGTACTCCCTCTAAATTAAATGTAATAAGCACACCATTCCTATATGGCAAAAGGCTTTGCTGTTATAATACAGTAGTATGTTTATGGTGAAATAAGTTTTTACATGTAAGGTTAGTGTTCTGTATGCCAGTGTTTCCCACCTACAGCCCTGGAGACCCACTCAGCACGCCTGACTCAATTCAATTATTTATTTATCATCAAATCTCCACAGAGATTGTTTTAGGGAGTAGAACAACACCTTACAAAAAATACACATGTAGATACAATTTGCAGAAAATAGTCTCTTTAAACACGTATGTCCATACCATATCCTTATAAATGTCTATATTATAACTTATATAATATAAATGGATATTGTACATATATTTGTACAGTATATATATATAGAGAGAAAGAGATTTGTTACAGTGAAAATTAGTAACAGGTCAAAATTGTTGGCAACAAAGCTCCAATAAATTTAGTGGTAGAGCAGTGATATTGTGCACCCTTGGTAACTTTGCATACATATTAAAAACAAGAGATATCACAAACATGGAAAGTGGTATAGGAAACATTTTGCCTGGCAAAAATGCCTGTGAATATCAAATAAATCTTTGGTTAATAACATTTTATTAGCACAAAGGTTGTAATTAACTTTACATTTTTCAGTGTTGATTTCAGGTAACACTGAAGTCATATAAAAATTATTTAGCATTGTGAAACAAGCTGTAACAAAAATATCCCAATAAACATTCATTATAAAATTAAGAGCCATAAACTATTTCATTTGCAGACATTCACAGAAGATTTCAAGTCATTCCGTTACATAATACTAACTGCTACCTCAACCAAATATCACAATCAGGAACTTGTTATCTGGATACACTGCTCATCAGTCGAAACCTGATAATTTTCTTGTCATATGTCACCTTCTGTTTGTCATAAAACTCCTTTCCACTGCTGTTTATACCTCTAGGGGAATTTGAGGCATTTTTTTTATAACGGTGGAATCTCATGACGTAATGTTTTATGAACTTTTGTCATCTATTCATGTCATGTTCAGAAGAAATGTTAGTTATTTTTTCTGTTGACACTATCTACGGGTATTTTAGGCCCAGACAGTTCATTGTCTGTTAGATCTCAGAAATCTGAACACTCTGCCCATCACATCATCCCTTTGGGCATGTCATGTAAAAGTTAAAAGAGATTAATATATCTCATGAGATGCAAGGGATGCTTTCAATATACCTCCAAACTGGGCTTTGGTATGCTTTTTATACCTTTACATGACACCTTCTATAAGCCCCAATAAGCCATTGCATCCATTTTTTTTCACAATTTCTTTCCTACGACACTCCTTCGTCACATAGATCGTTTTCTCTGGTGAACCTTTTCCTTTTATGTATGGAAAGGAAACTGTTAAAGGTGATCCGACAGCCCCTGTTACATTTAGTCTTTCTTCACTGTGTATTTATAATACACCTACACCTGAGGTTGTGTGGATAGTCCACATGCTTAACACACAGTAAACACAGCTCTAATCCTAAAGTAAGAGCATAAATATATGTGTCTCTTGAGTGGAAGTAGAAACAGTCCATCAGTGAAGTGTTCTTCTCCTGCAGCAGAAGATGAACGAGCTGTGTTCGTACATCTGAATCAGATCCAGTAAAATGCGAAGGGTCAGCATACTGATTCGTCACGATCTTTAGCCGGTGTGGCGTTCTTTCTCACAAATGTCACCAACCTCTCGCCGTGGCACTCTGGTTTGGAAACGTCATTGAAGTTTTTTTCTGTTGAAACGCTCTTGAGCTTTGTTTGCGTGAGCTCATACTCCTCAGTAAGGCATCCACAGGCTGCTTTAGTCAGACTGTGCTGTATGTAGAGTGCATCCCTGTAAACGGTCTCTCCTTTGTCCACTTCCTTATAGACGTGGTACTCTTCCTTCACTGTGAATTTCGTCTCCTCTCGGGTTGCGTTGTCGTCCGACTCAGCTAAACACATAAAGTTTACATTTGATTACGCCAAATGGGGTTGACCTTTGTAACAA